TGGCGCCCAAGGTGGGGACTTTATTAATAATTAGAAAATATCAAAAAATACAAAGATTGAAAAACGTGCCAAAATCCCGATAATTAAAGGTACCATTATATGAGGATTACCCTTAAAAATGGACCCATATTAATCATTGTTGTAGGATTATTTGACACCCAATGAGGACGCAAAATATCAAATTAGAGGCAATTTGGTTGAAACATTTGCTCAAGATCCCCAAAAAACCGAATATTTTACGTTACCCTTCAAAATGTGCTCTATTTTTATAAATATTGGCAGGACGATTTGATATCCACTTAGAACCCAAAATAAAAAATTAGAGGCAATTCGGTTGAATAACCTGCCCAAAATCTCCAAAATATAAAAAAAATCGGAGGTACCGTTACATGAGGGCAATACCAAAATGTGGACCTATATTTATAATTTTTGGTAGGAAGATTTGTCATTCCCTGAGAACCCATAATATCGAATTTGGGTTCTCAGGGTTGAAAGATCTGCTCAAGAACCCCAAACTACCGAATATTTGAGGTTACCCTTATATGGGAACTCCCTTCAAACTTGAGCATATATTTATAATTTTTGGAAGGACGATTTGATATCCATTGAGAACCCAAAATATAAAATTAGAGGCAATTCGATTGAATAACGTGGCCACAAATTCCCAAAATATAAAAAAAATCGGAGGTACCGTTACATGAGGGCAATACCAAAATGTGGACCTATATTTATAATTTTTGGTAGGAAGATTTGTCATTCCCTGAGAACCCAAAATATCAAATTAGAGGCAATTTAGTTAAAAAATGTGCCCAAGATCCCCAAAATACCGAGTGATTGAGGGTACCCTTAAAATCCCATGAGAACAATACCAAAATGTCGACCAATATTGATTGATTGATATTGATTTTTAGTATCAAGATTTGTCATTCCCTGAGAAACCAAAATATCAAATTAGAGGCAATTTGGTTGAAAAATGTGCTCAAGATCCCGAAATTACCGAATAATTGAGGGTACCATTATATGGCAGCTAGCCTCAAACGTGGGCCTAAATTTATAATTTTTGGTAGGACAATTTGATATCCACTGAGAACCCAAAATTAAAGCGAATTCTTTTGAAAGGCGTGCTCAAAATCCCAAAAAAATGTACCGAAATCCGAGGTACCGTTATATGGGGGCTATACTAAAAAGTGGATCAATATTGGTAATTTTTGATAGGGAGATTTTCGACGTAATTAGGATCTAAAAGACTAAATCTAAGCCAAATTCGTTGAAAAACGTGCCCAAAATCCCCAAAACACCGAATAATTAAGGGTACCTTTATATGGGAGCCATTCCAAAACTTATATCATATCGAAACTCTATATCAATAATTTTTGGGAAAGAGAATTTAAATTTAACCAGTGAGCGGAGCAGTATAGTCGGACGGGGCCGACCATACGATACCCTACACAACTTCCATGAAAATCTAACTTTTTGTGGTTCTATATTCTGAGATTTGGCAATATTTCGCGATCTTTGCACACTTTTGACTGGCTAGAGGTCAGCAAATGTTACTAATAATCAGTACAGCCCCTCTAATTACTTGTCCAGATTCCCTTCGCCGTGGGTTGTGTTGTGATGTTCGGCTTTCGACTCGAAAAGTACAAATAATAAAATTTTCGGTCCACTTCATCCGAAAAGTTATTATCTGATCATCACCTAACATTTTAGGAGTTGTCCTTGACCATAACTGGAACCTCATGGAACATTTCAAAGCGATCAGCGCTATATTTCCGCCCTCCAGTGTGGTAATAGGTTACTAAATAATATATGAATACGTAAGTACCTGTAAATATTTAAGTGTAACTCCCGCATCCGTGTACCTACGACAACATAATTGGTATCAATTTAAAGGTCAACCACTCCTCTTGGATATACTATCAACTTCTCGGATCTATGTCCTTCAGTCGTAAATATATACGCTATATAATACAAATTTTGTAATTTTTCACACAAAAGTTAGGGTCCATTTGACCCGCTAAATATTGACCGATCTTTATCAAAACAGGCATGCTTATTCTTTGACCCGATCCCCTTCTCCATGCAAAAATTCGCGGTGTTTGGGCCATAATTGTGGCGTCTGGAGCGACCAGAAAATCAGACAAAAATTTAGTTTTTGGTCCATTTCATCCCCTAAATATTAACCGATCTTTTCAAAAAACAATAGGGGTCTTCATTGGCCAGAACCCATCCTACATGCAAAATTTCGTGAAGATTGGTCCATAACTGTGGCCTGTATCGTGTTTACAAATTATAATGGACAGACGGACGGACGGACGGACGGACACACATGTCTAGATCAACTCAGCTAGTCGAGATATGACGATCGGTATACTTAAATGGTGGTCTAGGACCAATATTTCGCGGCGTTACAAACTTTTGGGGCTGCACAAAGCTATAATACCCTGACAACATAGTTGTGTAGGGTATAAAAACTTTAAAAACGATATCAAAATTTCCAAAATACCGAATTATGGTGCTATAAGAATTATTTCTAACGGTCTCAGAATAGCCGTGGATTTTTAAGTTTAAAGCATTTTTGAACTTTTCAGATTCGGGGTCGTCAAAAATATCCCTTGAATTTTAAGTCAGTTTTTTTAATTATTAGAGTGCCCTTGCGTTTTTAGCCATTATTTGTTGAGTCCTCAGAATAGCCAAAGATTTTTTTGAAAATTATTTTTGAGTGCTTCAAAATAGAGATTCTGAAAGCAGCCGTGAATTTTTTGGGAACTATGTTTGGGGTCTGAGAATAGCCGTAGAAGCCTTGAATGATTCAAATGAGCCGTGCATTTTTAGGAATTAATTTTAGGGTCCCCAAAATTTTTTTAGTACTTTTTTGAATTAGATTTTATTTTTTGAGTCTCCAAATAGCCACACATTTTTTTAAGAATTACTTTTTTAAGGGCCTCAGAATAGCAGTAGATTTTTTAGCGTTTTAGGAATTATTTTTAGGGTCCTAAAAACCCAGGATTCGTAAGTCCCCAAAATAATCAAGGGTTTTAAAAGAATTCAGAGGGCATTTGGATGCTTCAAAAAAAGTGTTTTTTTTATTTTTGGGGTCTTCAGATTAGCCAAGGATTTTTCTGAAAATGATTCTGATGAAGATTCTCAAAGTAGCCGTAGATTTTTTGGGAACTATGTTTGGGGTCGGTGAATTAAAACAGGACCTAAAATAATCTTGACGGTCTTAAAATAGATCTGGATTTTTTAAGAATTATTATTGAGGACCTCAAAAAAGCCCTGGATTTTTAAGGCTTCAAAATAGTCACGCATATTTGAAAACTATTTTGAATAGTCGTGGGTTTTCAGGGATTATTTTTGGGGTCCTCAGAATAGCCGTGTATATTTTTAAGATTTGTTTTGGGAGTCTAAGAAAAAACACAGAATTGTTAGAATTATTCTTGAAAATCAGAAAGCTATATGGTTAAAAATCGTGCTCAAAATTCCCTAAATATACCAAATTCGGATAGTACAATTATTTGGGTCCTATAAAAAAATATTCATGTTTTTTTGGTAAGACGATTTTTTACCATCCCTTCTAAAGTATCAGGTATCTATATACTTTTTTATAGTAATTTCTAATAATTTGCTTATTACGTAAATGGCGCCCAACACGGGGACTTTGTATAAGATTTTAGTGTCAGTAAACTTTTAATAGTTTTTTAATAATTTCTGTTTTATCTGATCTCTTTGGGGGTACCTCGTTTTGGCAATTATTTTTCAAGTGGCACCCAACTCGAGGACTTGATGTCTGACCCTCTAACTACCATATATTGTGGGCTACTTTAAAAGTGTGGTCCAACATTTTCGCTGATAGCGAGATTTTCTATGCCACGAGAAGCTAAAATACAATATTTCAAGTAATCTTCCTTACATTAACTATGTTTTTTTTTCTTCAAAGCTAAATGACGCCCAACTTGGGGTCTTCGAAAAACATGAAAATAATAAAAATTAAAGGATCTCTTCTAAAGTATCAGGCTTCAAGATGCTTTATTTTATAATAATTTGATTACTTTCTTTTGTAAATGGCGCCCAACACGGGGTCTTGGTATGTGATGTTAGTGTCAGTAATCTTTTAATAGTTTGTTTTAAATGTTGCTGTTTTATCTGATCTCTTTGGGGGTACTTCGTTTTGGTAATTCTTTTTCAAGGAGGACTTGATGTCTGACCCTCCAACTGCCACATATTGTGGGCTACCATAAAAGAGTGGACCAACATTTTCGTTGATATACCACGATAACCTAAAATGCAAAATTTCAAGTAATCTTCCTTACATTAACTAAATTTTTTCTCAAATCTAAATGGCGCCCAACTTGGGGGCTTAGAAAAGCATGTCCGCTGGAAAATATTTAAAAAACAAATCATATTAAAATCCTTCAACGTATCAGATCCCAGTTTACATTATTCCATAGTACTTTCTAATAGTTTGGAGACTATATTTTGTAAATGGCGACCAACTCGGGGACCGGACAAACGATTTAAATGTTTTTAAACTTTTAGTGTTTTTATAAATTCTTCTGATTTATCAGATCTCATAGGGGGTACTTTATTTGGTAATTGTTTTTCAGGTGGCGCCCAAATCGGGGACTTTAATGATTTTTAGGAGTATTTTTTATCGGTTTTTACGGTTAAGAACACATTTTATAGAAAATCTATGCCTATGGTCCTGTTTTATTGTCTGAAAAAATTTGTTTAAAAAATAAATAAAAAAACCTTAGAAAAATCCAAGCAGGATTATTGGTCTATAAAAGTTTGAAAAAGTGTTCCTGAAAATATGAATACCCTTCATTCATTTCTTGTTTCTTTATGTATTTCATTACAAAACTCAAATGCACACAAAGCATTTTGAAAACTTAAAAACATATAAAAATAAATAAATATTGCTTCAGCAGTCTTTACAATTTAACAACAACAAATAACAGAAGACAACAATAACAACTAACAAATATGGATTCATTTGTTTAGAACATTTTTTGAGTCAAGGCCAAAAGCACCAGAATACTAGCACCCAATTGAGTCATTGGCGATGAACCATTACACCAATCCTTTGTGCAAACATAACACGAGTCTAGAGAGTCAGCGCTTTTCGGGTCTAGCTTGCAGCCATTGTCCGTGTTGATGGTATCACCAAAATAGCAGGAACGTATTATGTGCGTACCACCACCGAGAGCTGGAAAAGAGAACAACAACAAAATTTCTTTTTTATAAAAAAATATTCTTTAAAAAATCCACGCCTGTCTGTGGCCCTTGAAAAAATATTCTTTAAAAAATCCACGCCTGTCTGTGGCCCTTGAAAAAATATTCTTTAAAAAATCCACGCCTGTCTGTGGCCCTTGAAAAAATATTCTTTAAAAAATCCACGCCTGTCTGTGGCCCTTGAAAAAATATTCTTTAAAAAATCCACGCCTGTCTGTGGCCCTTGAAAAAATATTCTTTAAAAAATCCACGCCTGTCTGTGGCCCTTGAAAAAATATTCTTTAAAAAATCCACGCCTGTCTGTGGCCCTTGAAAAAATATTCTTTAAAAAATCCACGCCTGTCTGTGGCCCTTGAAAAAATATTCTTTAAAAAATCCACGCCTGTCTGTGGCCCTTGAAAAAATATTCTTTAAAAAATCCACGCCTGTCTGTGGCCCTTGAAAAAATATTCTTTAAAAAATCCACGCCTGTCTGTGGCCCTTGAAAAAATATTCTTTAAAAAATCCACGCCTGTCTGTGGCCCTTGAAAAAATATTCTTTAAAAAATCCACGCCTGTCTGTGGCCCTTGAAAAAATATTCTTTAAAAAATCCACGCCTGTCTGTGGCCCTTGAAAAAATATTCTTTAAAAAATCCACGCCTGTCTGTGGCCCTTGAAAAAATATTCTTTAAAAAATCCACGCCTGTCTGTGGCCCTTGAAAAAATATTCTTTAAAAAATCCACGCCTGTCTGTGGCCCTTGAAAAAATATTCTTTAAAAAATCCACGCCTGTCTGTGGCCCTTGAAAAAATATTCTTTAAAAAATCCACGCCTGTCTGTGGCCCTTGAAAAAATATTCTTTAAAAAATCCACGCCTGTCTGTGGCCCTTGAAAAAATATTCTTTAAAAAATCCACGCCTGTCTGTGGCCCTTGAAAAAATATTCTTTAAAAAATCCACGCCTGTCTGTGGCCCTTGAAAAAATATTCTTTAAAAAATCCACGCCTGTCTGTGGCCCTTGAAAAAATATTCTTTAAAAAATCCACGCCTGTCTGTGGCCCTTGAAAAAATATTCTTTAAAAAATCCACGCCTGTCTGTGGCCCTTGAAAAAATATTCTTTAAAAAATCCACGCCTGTCTGTGGCCCTTGAAAAAATATTCTTTAAAAAATCCACGCCTGTCTGTGGCCCTTGAAAAAATATTCTTTAAAAAATCCTCGCCTGTCTGTGGCCCTTGAAAAAATATTCTTTAAAAAATCCACGCCTGTCAGTGGCCCTTGAAAAAATATTCTTTAAAAAATCCACGCCTGTCAGTGGCCCTTGAAAAAATATTCTTTAAAAAATCCTCGCCTGTCTGTGGCCCTTGAAAAAATATTCTTTAAAAAATCCACGCCTGTCAGTGGCCCTTGAAAAAATATTCTTTAAAAAATCCACGCCTGTCTGTGGCCCTTGAAAAAATATTCTTTAAAAAATCCTCGCCTGTCTGTGGCCCTTGAAAAAATATTCTTTAAAAAATCCACGCCTGTCTGTGGCCCTTGAAAAAATAGTCTTTAAAAAATCCACGCCTGGCTGTGGCCTTTGAAAAAATATTATTTAAAAAGGCCACGCATATCTGTGGCCCTTGAAAAAATGTTCTTTAAGAAATCCACTGCTACTTGGAAATATAAATATTCCTGCTCGAAGTAGCTGATAACAACCACACTGTATTATTACTGACACATCCTTCACACACACATACACTCACACAGCTAGAGATAACACAGTAGTTGACTTCTTTGTTGACAAGGTCAAATTTATCATCCATAATAAATGTCATAATTTATATCAAAACAACACACACATACACTCATACTCCTACACATCTAAATTCCTGGAATAACTTACGTGCTTCCACAGTTTGTGTCATGCAACCGGTGGCATTGAAGGTGCCAAGTGGTAAATATGTCTGCAGATAGATTGGTATGGCAGCTTTATTGCAATCGTATTTCATGTTGTCCTCAGCCTCGAATGGTTCGCCACACTTCTTATTACCCAGGGAGGCACATTGATAACAGTGGATGGCCGAAACTAGAACAGGATAAGAAAAGGACACACAAAAAGGAAGCCAATAATTAACAAATTTAATTTTGGTAATTACTTTTTTTTCGGAAATTTTAATCCAATTTAAGACACTTCGTGGACTCACCATCACTGGTTAGGGTTGCAACAATAGTTGTAACCAAAAGGACTTTAACAAGAAACATTTTGGGTGTTATTTTTTTATTTTTTACTAAGTTTAATGATAAAATTTAAATTTTGGTTCTGGGGCTGTCGCTGGCAATGACAACGTCTACTCACTTCGTCACTGTGACAAATGTCCTCCTAACACACTTCAGAGTAAATGTAAATGCCTAATTTCGTTTTAGGTTCTTATGTGGTGGAGTTATTTGCACAAGTACTTTTTTCATTCGGAGACTCTCTCAAATGGTTGCTAATATACTCACCAAGGTGAGTATGAAAATCTGAGCAATTGAGAATCACAGACTAAAGGGTGTGAGTGAAATTACTCATAATAAAAAGAAAAATGGAAATTTGCGAACTGTCACAAAGACACGAATTTAAAAAAAATTGGCGTGGATTTTTTAAAGAATATTTTTTAAGGGTCACCATAGGCGTGGATTTTTTAAAGAAGGCCACAATAGGCGTGGATTTTTTAAAGAAGGCCACAATAGGCGTGGATTTTTTAAAGAAGGTCACCATAGGCGTGGATTTTTTAAAGAAGGTCACCATAGGCGTGGATTTTTTAAAGAAGGTCACCATTGGCGTGGATTTTTTAAAGAAGGTCACCATAGGCGTGGATTTTTTTAAAGAAGGTCACCATAGGCGTGGATTTTTTAAAGAAGGTCACCATAGGCGTGGATTTTTTAAAGAAGGTCACCATAGGCGTGGATTTTTTAAAGAAGGTCACCATAGGCGTGGATTTTTTAAAGAAGGTCACCATAGGCGTGGATTTTTTATAGAAGGTCACCATAGGCGTGGATTTATTAAAGAAGACTTTTTTCAAGGGTCACCATAGGCGTGGATTTATTAAAGAAGACTTTTTTCAAGGGTCACCATAGGCGTGGATTTATTAAAGAAGACTTTTTTCAAGGGTCACCATAGGCGTGGATTTATTAAAGAAGACTTTTTTCAAGGGTCACCATAGGCGTGGATTTATTAAAGAAGACTTTTTTCAAGGGTCACCATAGGCGTGGATTTATTAAAGAAGACTTTTTTCAAGGGTCACCATAGGCGTGGATTTATTAAAGAAGACTTTTTTCAAGGGTCACCATAGGCGTGGATTTATTAAAGAAGACTTTTTTCAAGGGTCACCATAGGCGTGGATTTATTAAAGAAGACTTTTTTCAAGGGTCACCATAGGCGTGGATTTATTAAAGAAGACTTTTTTCAAGGGTCACCATAGGCGTGGATTTATTAAAGAAGACTTTTTTCAAGGGTCACCATAGGCGTGGATTTATTAAAGAAGACTTTTTTCAAGGGTCACCATAGGCGTGGATTTATTAAAGAAGACTTTTTTCAAGGGTCACCATAGGCGTGGATTTATTAAAGAAGACTTTTTTCAAGGGTCACCATAGGCGTGGATTTATTAAAGAAGACTTTTTTCAAGGGTCACCATAGGCGTGGATTTATTAAAGAAGACTTTTTTCAAGGGTCACCATAGGCGTGGATTTATTAAAGAAGACTTTTTTCAAGGGTCACCATAGGCGTGGATTTATTAAAGAAGACTTTTTTCAAGGGTCACCATAGGCGTGGATTTATTAAAGAAGACTTTTTTCAAGGGTCACCATAGGCGTGGATTTATTAAAGAAGACTTTTTTCAAGGGTCACCATAGGCGTGGATTTATTAAAGAAGACTTTTTTCAAGGGTCACCATAGGCGTGGATTTATTAAAGAAGACTTTTTTCAAGGGTCACCATAGGCGTGGATTTATTAAAGAAGACTTTTTTCAAGGGTCACCATAGGCGTGGATTTATTAAAGAAGACTTTTTTCAAGGGTCACCATAGGCGTGGATTTATTAAAGAAGACTTTTTTCAAGGGTCACCATAGGCGTGGATTTATTAAAGAAGACTTTTTTCAAGGGTCACCATAGGCGTGGATTTATTAAAGAAGACTTTTTTCAAGGGTCACCATAGGCGTGGATTTATTAAAAAAGACTTTTTTCAAGGGTCACCATAGGCGTGGATTTATTAAAGAAGACTTTTTTCAAGGGTCACCATAGGCGTGGATTTATTAAAGAAGACTTTTTTCAAGGGTCACCATAGGCGTGGATTTATTAAAGAAGACTTTTTTCAAGGGTCACCATAGGCGTGGATTTATTAAAGAAGACTTTTTTCAAGGGTCACCATAGGCGTGGATTTATTAAAGAAGACCTTTTTCAAGGGTCACCATAGGCGTGGATTTATGAAAGAAGACTTTTTTCAAGGGTCACCATAGGCGTGGATTTATTAAAGAAGACTTTTTTCAAGGGTCACCATAGGCGTGGATTTATTAAAGAAGACTTTTTTCAAGGCCTACCTATCCAGGCGTGGATTTATTAAAGAAGACTTTTTTCAAGGCATATCCTATCCAAGGCGTGGATTTATTAAAGAAGACTTTTTTCAAGGGTCACCATAGGTGTGGATTTATTAAAAAAGACTTTTTTCAAGGGTCACCATAGGCGTGGATTTATTAAAGAAGACTTTTTTCAAGGGTCACCATAGGCGTGGATTTATTAAAGAAGACTTTTTTCAAGGGTCACCATAGGCGTGGATTTATTAAAGAAGACTTTTTTCAAGGGTCACCATAGGCGTGGATTTATTAAAGAAGACTTTTTTCAAGGGTCACCATAGGCGTGGATTTATTAAAGAAGACTTTTTTCAAGGGTCACCATAGGCGTGGATTTATTAAAGAAGACTTTTTTCAAGGGTCACCATAGGCGTGGATTTATTAAAGAAGACTTTTTTCAAGGGTCACCATAGGCGTGGATTTATTAAAGAAGACTTTTTTCAAGGGTCACCATAGGCGTGGATTTATTAAAGAAGACTTTTTTCAAGGGTCACCATAGGCGTGGATTTATTAAAGAAGACTTTTTTTCAAGGGTCACCATAGGCGTGGATTTATTAAAGAAGACTTTTTTCAAGGGTCACCATAGGTGTGGATTTATTAAAAAAGACTTTTTTCAAGGGTCACCATAGGCGTGGATTTATTAAAGAAGACTTTTTTCAAGGGTCACCATAGGCGTGGATTTATTAAAGAAGACTTTTTTCAAGGGTCACCATAGGCGTGGATTTGTTAAAAAAGACTTTTTTCAAGGGTCACCATAGGCGTGGATTTATTAAAGAAGACTTTTTTCAAGGGTCACCATAGGCGTGGATTTATTAAAGAAGACTTTTTTCAAGGGTCACCATAGGCGTGGATTTATTAAAGAAGACTTTTTTCAAGGGTCACCATAGGCGTGGATTTATTAAAGAAGACTTTTTTCAAGGGTCACCATAGGCGTGGATTTATTAAAGAAGACTTTTTTCAAGGGTCACCATAGGCGTGGATTTATTAAAGAAGACTTTTTTCAAGGGTCACCATAGGCGTGGATTTATTAAAGAAGACTTTTTTCAAGGGTCACCATAGGCGTGGATTTATTAAAGAAGACTTTTTTCAAGGGTCACCATAGGCGTGGATTTATTAAAGAAGACTTTTTTCAAGGGTCACCATAGGCGTGGATTTCTTAAAGAAGACTTTTTTCAAGGGTCGTTTTTCTACGACTCCCAGAACCATTAAATTGGAAACATTTTAGGAAATAAATAAAGCATTTTATTTCATATTACAAAATTCATAATAATAAATACATTTATCAAAAAGTTATTTTGTAAATATCTAGAAAAGACACGTACATTCCAAATTAGCTGGAGGTAGTGGTACGACGGTGGCGTCCACAATAAGGCCAAACTGCAGAGACAACAGTCTAAGAGAATAGGCGAGCCAAGCCAAAGAATACCACAATGGTCATAAGAACAGGCATCATCGAGGTGGAACCATTGCACAATTCTCCAGCACAGACATCACAAGACAGTTGGGAGGACAACAAATCGGTGGGGTTCAATTTACAACCCTTGTCGGTTTGGGAAATATCACCGAAATAGCAGGTACGAACAATGTGTATGCCGCCCACTTCTAAACAATGGAAAAAGAAGAAAGAAAATAGAATGATTAGCTTTTTTATTTTTCGCTCGCAAAAATTATGTCATGCGACTAAGAAGCTAATGTCGTCATCATTAAGTGCTCCACTTATATGATTTTCCATTTTCGTTGTTTTTCTTTTGTTTCGCATAGACATCTGTACATATTTACTTACTGGCATCCACAGTTTGTTTCATACAGCCGGTGGCATTTAGATTGGTTCCAGTTATCCATGACAGCAGATAGGCGGGTGCAGCAGCCTTACCGCAATCGACCTTCATGCTTTCCTCGGCTTCGAATTGTTCACCACATTTCTTGTTGGTCAGGGAATCGCATTGGTAGCAATGGACAGCAAAGGCTAAAATTAAATACTTTTTTCTTTAATTTGAATTCAATAATTTTTGGGAGGGCCATTAGAGAAGAACTTCTAGTATCCAAATAAAGAATTAATCCTCAAGTCCAGTTGGAATTTTTTCGAAGTTACTTTTGAAGACTTTAATGGTCTTTGATATACTAACCAGTGGTGGCCAAAGTGGCAATTACAGCAATAGCCAATAAATACTTGATTGAAGACATTTTCCGATTATATCTGATTTTTCGAATTAGAATTAAAAAAACAACTGCTGTGTTTTTTTTTTCTTTTTAATTTTTGTTTTTCCGTTTTCCCAACTGCACCACTCTCAAGGAAAGTCAACTACAAACTGATATCTTCCAGTTGACATTATGTGGGTAGTTGTTTCTTTGAGAATACAAAATTCGGGCAAAGCAGAGTAAAAAAATTGAGTGTATTTTAATGCTGTTTTGAGTATTTGACATAAGTGTGACAATGATGTTCTCTGAGTAAAATTCGAAACTTAAGTAATGTGTAGAGGAAAATATATTACGAAAGGAAATAAATGTTTGTTGTGTTTATTTACAAAAAATAGAATAAAAAGGTTTAAAAATATTCTTTAAAAAATCAAAAAAATTATCCTTTAAATATCTACGCCTATGATATGCTCTGAAAAAATATTTTTTTTAAAAATCCACTCTTATGATATGCTCTAAAAAATATTCTTTAAAAAATACAAATCTAAAAAATATTCTTTAAAAAATGCACTTTAAAAAATATTCTTTAAAAAATGCACTTTAAAAAATATTCTTTAAAAAATCCACGCCTTTGATAACCCCTGAAAAAATATACTTCACCAATTCCATACCTTTGATAACCCCTGGAAAAATATTCTTTAAAAAATCCACGCCTTTGATAACCCCTGAAAAAATATACTTCACCAATTCCATACCTTTGATAACCCCTGGAAAAATATTCTTTAAAAAATCCACGCCTATATTTGACTCTCGAAAGATATTCTTTAATCCACGCCTATGATAGTCTATCAGGGTCTCTGAAAAAATATTCTTTAATCCACGCCTATGATAGTCTATCAGGGTCTCTGAAAAAATATTCTTTAATCCACGCCTATGATAGTCTATCAGGGTCTCTGAAAAAATATGCATTAAAAAATCCACGCCTATATTTGACTCTCAAAAGATATTCTTTAATCCACGCCTATGATAGTCTATCAGGGTCTCTGAAAAAATATTTATTAAATAATCCACGCCTATATTTGACTCTCAAAAGATATTCTTTAAAAAATCCACGTCTATATTTGACTCTCAAAAGATATTCTTTAAAAAATCCACGCCTATGATAGTCTTTCAGGGTCTCTGAAAAAATATTCTTTAAAAAATCCACGCCTATGATAGTCTTTCAGGGTCTCTGAAAAAATATTCTTTAAAAAATCCACGCCTATGATAGTCTTTCAGGGTCTCTGAAAAAATATTCTTTAAAAAATCCACGCCTATGATAGACTTTCAGGGTCTCAGAAAAAATATTCATTAAAAAATCTACGCCTATGATAGTGTTTCAGGGTCTCTGAAAAAATATTCTTTAAAAAATCCACGCCTATGATAGTCTTTCAGGGTCTCTAAAAAAATATTCTTTAAAAAATCCACGCCTATGATAGTCTTTCAGGGTCTCTGAAAAAATATTCTTTAAAAAATCCACGCCTATGATAGACTTTCAGGGTCTCAGAAAAAATATTCATTAAAAAATCTACGCCTATGATAGTCTTTGAGGGTCTCTGAAAAAATATTCTTTAAATAATCCACGCTTATATTAGGCTCTCAAAAAATATTCTTTAAAAAATCCACGCCTTATATTAGGCCCTCAAAAAATATTCTTTAAAAAAATCCACGCCTTATATTAGGACCTCAAAAAATATTATAAATTAGGCCCCACGCCTTATATTAGGACCCTCAAAAAATATTAGGCCCTCAAAAAATACTCTTTAAAAAATCCCATGATAGGGCCTGAAATCTATTCCATAATCTCCTCCAAGATTTATATTTCCATTTTTAATATTATCAAATATTTTTGAATTCATAATTTTTATTACAGTATTTAATTGGTTTTTTGAACTTTCCAAAACAGCAAACAATTAATGATATGAACAATCTTTATCCCAAAATTGTTGATTCCAGGCTTTAATGACGACCAATGTGTTTGACTTCGTTGAACTGCATTTAACCCTGCAGCTGCAAAAAAGAAATAAAACTCATATTATTTGATTATAATAAATACGATGTCGTCATGACTAATAAGTAAACGAAATAAAATGCGTATCATTTCCCCCCGTCCCCCCATCTTCTGAATGCTCTCTCGTAAGTGGAGGAAAAACATATTTCAAATTAAATATTAGTTCGGACATGAAAAAATTCGCGGCAATAATCAACACAAAAATACCAGCATCTCTGGCATCATTGAATTGAGCTGACATCATCCTCAAAGGTCTCAATGAGGTCTCAGTCACAGCGAAGAGAGACAGACTTCGCTCACAACGAAAGTGAATGTGTTGACACACTCCCCCACACACACTCAGAATTTGGATATATTGTTTTGAGTGGAAAGCGCAAGCATATGAGTTGAAATGGAAATTTACAATGTTGGTGTCGATTTTGGAAACAAATTATTAAAAAAATCATTATCCACAAAAGAAAGGCAAGGATTTTAAAAGAATATTTTTTTCAAGGTCCACCTAGGGCGTGGATTTTTTAAAGACTATTTTTTCAAGTTCCACCTAAGGCATAGATTTTTAAAGAATATTTTTTCAAGTTCCACCTAAGGCATAGATTTTTAAAGAATATTTTTTCCACTTCCACCTAAGGTGTAGATTTTCAAAGAATATTTTTTCAAGCTCTAACTAAGGCATATATTTTAAAAGAATATTGTTTCAAGCTCTACCACCCTTGGTTTGGTGTTGAAATTCAACCTCTTTTGTTTAACCTCTCCCATGTAATAATTTCGAATTTTAATATCACACACACATACACACCCTCTAATAAAAATTTAATGTATGTATGTGTGACATCATTTCCATTAGCAATTTTGTTTCCTATTTTTTTTTTTTTTTTGCAACAACTCTGTTGTTATCCTTCAAACAACAAGTTGAAAGCTTTGCAAAACGGAAGTAATTTCTTTTGCTGCTCCGTTTTTAGTTTTTTGCTTTGCTTTCGTTATTAGGAATAGCTCCAAACAAGGATATACTTAATATTCAACAAACTGCAAACAAAAATGTGAACCAAACACGCAATTTCTTGGTTTGGTTGGCGTCTACCCACATATTAAGACGAGTCCTTGCTGTTAAAATATGTCTACAAAGTTTTTTTTTTTCTTGAGATTTATGACAGCTAAAGGCCAGAATAGTGATATCACTATTTTGCCACTTTTTCATCATTATTAGAATTGTGTGTGGTGGAAATGATTTGCCAACACTCATGTGGGAGAGAGAGAAAATGAGTGATTTGTATTAAAAATTATTATGAGTATATTTTTACGCTTCGATAAACTCAATATTCATTAAATTTTTGCGCAGGCAGAATTGCTGGAGGGAGGGATGTTATGTTGCATAGATTATGAGGAACTTAAAGGATAACATAAATCGTGGATTTTATATAAAATAGTTTTTTCAAATGACTGAATTTTTTAAAGAATATTTTTTTTCAGGGACTAATCAAAATAGGCGTGGATTTTTTAAAGAATAATTTTTTCAAGGACCACAACAAGGCCGTCGATCTTTTAAAGAATATTTTTTCAAGGACCACAACAAGGCGTGAATTTTTCAAAGAATATTTTTTCAAGGACCACAACAAGGCGTGAATTTTTCAAAGAATATTTTTTTTCAAGGACCACAACAAGGCGTGAATTTTTTTAAGAATATTTTTTCAGGGACCAATCGGAACAGGTGTGGATTTTTAAAGAATATTTTTTCAAGGACCAATCAAAACAGGCGAGGATTATTCAAAGGATATTTTTTCAAGGACCAATCAAAACAGGCGAGGATTTTTTTAAGAATATTTTTTCAAGGATCAATCAAAAAAAAAAAAAACATGAGTTGAATCTTTAATTTTTTTAGGCTTGGATTAAAAAAAACTGATATTTTTAAAGGTGTTTTTTTTTTAACTTGATATTGGGTTGTACTTAAAAAAAATATGTTAATGTGTGGATTTTTAAAAAAAAAAAAAAAAAAACATTTTTTTAAAGTGTGGATTAAAAAAAAATTTCAAGGGCTGTTATCGATTTTTTTTTAATTTTATTATTTTTGTAAGAAATTTATAAAAATATTTGTTTTCAATGTGCCGATTTTTTAACAAAAATTTTAATTTTTGTTAAGTTTTTGTTAAGTTTTTTTTTTAGTTTGAAAATTAGTTTTTGTCCAATTTGGGGATTTTTTAAAAAATATTTCTTCAAGCACTACAATTTACGTGGATTTTTAAAACATATTTTTTCGAGGACTACAACGTTTTGGAATAGCCGCACATATATAGGTCTAAACGCCTTATAGGTATTTTGGTGACCCTAAACGCATTTTCCAGTCGGTTTAGCTATATTTCAGCCTTGCGATGCAGCATTTCTCGATCTTGATAAGTAAAAAACTTCTTCACAGGATTCAATAAGAACCTCATGGTCCCAGTCCCATTTGCCAACCTTTGTTTGTATTTCAATATTTGAGACATCTTTGGGGGCTTTCTGAGTTTTATGTGCTTTGTTGGTTTTACTCTGGAAGCTTTAGTAAACTTTTGCATGAAGTTTTCCTTGTTGCCATCTGGTGGTAGAATAATTAAGAAAAAAAAAACATTGGTGTTGGTATGGACTTTTATTATTAAAAAATTTCATTTATTTATTTTTTTAATAAATTTCAGGTTTTGGCGCTATAAAAATTATGCTCTAATTATAATTTAGTATGTTCATAAATGCGGCTCAGATGTTATACGAATGTCTTCAGCCAAGTCAAATATTCAATAATGAAACAGACCTTCATTTCCCTGTGGATTTTGTAAACATTTTTCAATAGTAAATAAAAATATTTACATATTTATTTCTCTTTTTATATTGATTCCTAAATATATAACATCCCTTGCATTAGTTCTCTCCAACAGCAAATTCCAATACCCATCTATTTTTGCGTCACCTTTACACATTTGTGTTAAAATGTCATTTAATTTGCATAAATTTAATTAAATGAATATTCAGTTTCCAAACAAGTGATTTTCTTCC